CCTGCACCAGACTGGGAAGAGTGAATCTACAATAGGCAAGCAGCTTGGTGTGAAAAAAATCAACTGTGGGAGCAATTATCAGAAAATGGAAGACATACAAGACCACTGATAATCTCCCTCGATCTGGGGCTCCACACAAGATCTCATCCTGTGGGGTCAAAATGATCATGAGAACGGTGAGCAAGAATCCCAGAACCACACGGGGGGACCTGGTGAATGACCTGCAGAGAGCTAGGACCACAGTAACAAAGGTCACCATCAGTAACATACAACGGCAGGGAATAAAATCCTGCAGTGCCAGACGTGTTCCGCTGCTGAAGCCAGTGCATGTCCAGGCCCGTCTGAAGTTGGCCAGAGAGCACATGGATGATACAGCAGAGGATTGGGAGAATGTCATGTGGTCAGATGAAACCAAAGTAGAACTTTTTGTTATAAACTCAACTTGTCGTGTTTGGAGGAAGAAGAATACTGAGTTGCATCATAAGAACACCATACCTACTGTGAAGCATGGGGGTGGGAACATCATGCTTTGGGGCTGTTTTTCTGCTAAGGGGACAGGACGACTGATCCGTGTTAAGGACAGAATGAATGGGGCAATGTATCGTGAGATTCTGAGCCAAAACCTCGTTCCATCAGTGAGAGCTTTGAAGATGAAACGTGGCTGGGTCTTCCAACACGACAATGATCCCAAACACACCGCCCGGGCAACAAAGGAGTGGCTCCGTAAGAAGCATTTGAAAGTCCTGGAGTGGCCTAGCCAGTCTCCAGACCTCAACCCCATAGAAAATCTGTGGAGGGAGTTGAAAGTCCGTGTTGCTCGGCGACAGCCCCAAAACATCACTGCTCTCGAGAAGATCTGCATGGAGGAATGGGCCAAAATACCAGCTACTGTGTGTGCAAACCTGGTAAAGACCTATAGTAATCGTTTGACCTCTGTTATTGCCAACAAAGGTTATGTTACAAAGTATTGGGTTGATTTTTTGTTATTGACCAAATACTCATTTTCCACCCTGATTTACAAATAAATTCTTTAAAAATCCTGCCATGTGAATTCATGGATTTTTTTTCACATTCTGTCTCTCACAGTTGACGTGTACCTATGATGGAAATTACTGACCTCTGTCATCATTTTAAGTGGGAGAACTTGCACAATCGGTGGCTGACTAAATACTTTTTTTGCCCCACTGTGTATATATATATATATATATATATATATATATATATATATATATATATATATATATAATTCTTATAAGATATGTTAAATCACATGACATCGTGATTTGTGGTTTAGCGACCAGTAAAGGCAGCACAATTAGCTTGTGGTGTTGTGGTTTTAAATCTGCAATTTTAATTCATCTTTCTTGAACTAAGACAAATGTGTCAAGTTTACACTAACTTTTCCTGCATGACACACCAAAGCATAAAGATTTAAAGTAGATAGACGGAGCAGGCCTAGCACTGCCAAAGTTCAAATATCAAAGCACGGAGATATGGTAATTAGCAGCTAGAGCAAGTTTGAACTTCAAGTGGTGCCAAAGGGTTGCCCTGTGCCTTCAGACCATGCAACGTGAGATAAATTGCTTTCTGACCTTAGCTTTAGGCAAAAAAAAAAAGAAGAAGAAGACAGCTGGGTTTGATTATCAGCAACAAAGCAAACAAACTGTTTCGACAGAGATCATAGGAAGGATGACTAAGATGACATTATCCATGCTCTGAAGATGTGATAACCTTTATGGGGAAAGGGTGACCATTCTTTGTCACGGATGAGTCCAAAAAGGACGGATGGTTACAGCTCCCTCATCATTACAGAAAACCATCAACCACACGTTAATCCAACCCAATTAGAGAACTGTGTGCTCTTCCTGTGTAATTACCCTGCGTATTGATGATTACTCTGCTTCAACTGTATCTGCACTTCCTGCATTTTGGTAAATGAGGGCCATATTTACCCTGCAGAGGAAATAAGTATACATGTGACTGCATAAACCTGCAGGGAGGCTAATTAGAGAGATAGATAAATACAACTGATGTTTTTTTTTCTTTTTCCAATGAAAATTTGGGAAAATTTGCTTTTAATATAAGTCTACCACTTCACCATTACAGACTTCTTTAGACAGCCAGCTGTTTTTACCTAATTTACTCCTGGCAAACACAGTGTAGTGGTCTCTTGCTTTATGCTCAATAAGGTCAGCCTCAAATCATTTAATTTTATAAGTAAAAGAAATCCCATTAAGTTGTAGCTCTGCATTAAAGGACTGAAAACATTCATTAACCACAAGTTTGCAAACAATGCAGCAATTAAAATCGCAAACGCAACTTTTTGTTTGTGGCCTTTGTTCTGAGTTGTGTTTAAAATAAATTGTCATTATATAGCCGTTCTTTCTGACTCGAAGCAATGCTCCGTCTCCAAGGTGACAAGACATCTGAATTGTAGCTATGGACACCAACATTTATCACTTTGGCATTCAATGACTTGCAAATCAAAGGGGTGCTACTTCTGGTAATGCCACACAGGTTCCACTACATAAAATTTGAAAAACAGCAAGCAAGGGAGGGTTGTGACTGTTACCCAGAGGTCAAATTACAACATTTGATAGAACATTTTCTGACAGACAGAAATATCAGAGCTTTATCAGAAGGCTGTGCTCTGTGTTAATGTGGGGCTTAATTCTGGATGATTGATGGAAACATGGCTGCCTTGTTGATTGTGCAGGTCTGGTATCCCTTGGTGCCCATGATTCCATGGGGTGATGCAAATGATGAGGGCATTTTCTATTTTTTGTATTTTATTTTATTTATTTATTTATTTATTTATTTATTTATTTGGTGTCCTGTCTGGCTGTGAAGCAAACAGAATTAATGTCTGAATGCTGGTGACAAGCCTTACAGATTTACTCTCAGGTGGAGCATCAAAGCGTCTGCTTTTAATGTCATGCCTGATACTTAAAACTTTATTGTTATTGTTTTTGAATGCTTTGTAATTCTGACCAGACACAGAGTCAGAGGTGAAAGAGAAAGGAAGAGGCAAAAGATGGGGTGGGGGGTGGGGGTGGGGGTGGGGGGGTGTTCCACAAAAATAAACAAAAATGAACAAGAGTCTGCTTCTAGACCTGCAGAAAGAGAGAAGAAAAAAGCAACAAAAAAAAAACATGGGACACAACAACAATACAACAAGATCAAGCCATCACTGCATCAACTTGATGAAGAAAATATATAATCAACATTGTTTTACTGAACAATCACACGATAATGAATCACAGTGCATTAAGTGCCCTATAGCCTTAAGACATGTGTTGAACGTACCCAAGTCCATACTTATGGGAGCACCATGTGAGCACCTGTGTGTGTACACGCGCTTGTTTATGTAAGGTTTCTCTATAGGAGTGTCCAATGGAGAGTGTGAGGGGCCACAGATCTGCCCCCTAAAGATGTGCAGGACACGGAGGGAGCTCCAAGTCCCAGAGATCCAGGAGTTGCCCCAGAGCGCAGGGACCCCAGGGAGACTGCAACCAGAAAAGCCCCCGCTCCCCTCGAGAGGCGCAGAGGATCGCCCCGGGGGGCCACAACCAGCAGCCGGCAGAGTCCCCGGAGATATTGACGGCAAGCCCACAGGCCCGCCCGCAGCCTCCCACCCTCTAGCCGGCCGAGCTCGGGACCCAATGACCCGGGACCCGGGGCGACCACCCCCCGCTGGGGACCCAGCAGAGCCCAGGGACCCAGACCCCACCAGGCAGCCACTGGCATTGATCAGGCAGATGCCAAAAGTCTTAAACTCCCTAACCCAGGAGGCACGACCAGGCAGACCAAGGCACCGCACTCCACACCAGATGTGGCAGGGAGAGGGGAGACGAAGATCTATATCACCAAAAGAAGTGGGCATTTTTGCTACCAGGGCATATCACAGTCACTTCCCATCCTATAGCAGCTCTGATTTTTCTGTTAAGTGTTAGAGCCCTCCAGCTGTTTAGAGTGCTAAATTTCAAGTAACTGAATCACGCAGTTGAGAGTGGAGCCACAGTGATGGTGCATATGTGTGTGTGTGTGTGTGCGCACGCGCGCAAGTGTGTGCGTGCATGCATGTTTGCACACTTGTCCGCTATGCATCCTCACACAAATACACAATGTGAAGAAATACCTCCTATGTCCTGGTTTTGACTCAGACGTTATCAATACTGATCTAAATCAACAAACCTCAAGGACAAGGCTAAATGACCAACAGCTGTTTGCGTCTGAAATAAATCTGTTTGTCTACTTCAAGGTCACACTGAGTAGCACTAGCAAAATGTTTAATACAGCAAAATCAATGACCAATGAAGAATGAGAAATGAATCTTTTTAGACTCTAATATGAAATGGATATCAGCTTTGCTTTCACTTTTGTTCTCCATTGTCAATAAGTATTGATCATTATTAGTTTACAGGTCAAAGCATAAATGAAATCAATGGATTTTAAAAAACATCAGACTTAGATTAGCAACAGGATGAGACATTAAAACAGCACCTATTTATTTGAGGTCTTCTTGGTAGGTATTGACTCTTGTAAGGTTGGAAAACCAAAACTTGCCATGCCACAGTGGAAAACTCTAAAGGCAACACTTTTTGATTGTTTTTAGAAAAATACTACTTTTAATAGTAACACTAGCCTTGCTTCAGGCTTGACATTATTATATTGAGCCAGTTAAAATATTTCAAGGAGTATTCATTTTATACCTGATACATATCAATAGTTTTGCAAATATTTCTACAAACGTTTTTAGCATAAAACTTGATTTTATAGAATCATACTCTGTCACTTAGCGACACCTGGTGGGTGAAAGTTAAATATATTAAATGAATATACGACTGAAGAACCACTCTTCAGTTTTATTTTCCTGTTACTAATTACTTTTTATATTTAAAACTATTTTTGTATTGCAACTCAACTAACGCAGCGGCTGTCATCCGGATAGTTGCGGCAGCGTTCTCTTACATGTACCGGAACCAACTGTCTTAGATTAATTTTACACGGAATGAAATACGGTTACACACTCAACGCCAACCTGTGAAGCTAGCCTCGCCGGGTTGTAGCATTTGCCTGTATGTTGTATTTATACTTTTGGTATCCGACGAAGAGCTGGATGACAGTAACTGTGTTGTTTAAGTGCCGCTGTTTGGTGAAAGATTCAACCAGCTGAGACGCTAAAAATGCGAGAAAGGTGAGAAGTTGGCTGACAATACAAACTAGATTCAACCTTGCTAATAGCTGTCACTAAGCTAATTCGTTTTTCGGTAACGTCGATTTATTGTCGCTTTAGTTCTCATTTCTCTTGTCTGTATTCGTTGTTAAGCTGGCAGCTGGTCTTGACTAACCAAAAATAACACTTCATGATGACTTCCGTTAACGTTTTGACGGTTGTACCTGTGAAAGCACGAACTGCAGTGTTGTGAGATTATTTTCTAGCTTTCATTTCCTTCTGGGTGGGGTCGAGGCATGTTTAATGTATGTGCCATTTAAGGTGCACCTAAAGATGCTAAAGTTGATTCATGACAGTGTTGGTTATTCACCACTATTATTATTAGTAATATTATTGCAGTTGTTGCCTGTTAGATTTCCGGACCAAGGACCCCTTTAGACAGTTCTGTCTGCTTCTGACAGAAGAGGGAGGACTTTACTTTGCTCTGCCGAACCTTCACTATGATTGTTAGAGAGATTAACTCTGCTGGTTAAAACCCAAGCATGGCTGTTTTAGTTCGAGGAGTCATTTTGTTATGTTCATTTAAACAATCCCTTTTATTGCCTTTTATGATGCAGGCTCCCAATATGATGTATTTTTAAATAAACTATTTTTGATGTACTTATTTCAATTCTAGTAATTTACGGTACAGTCCAAATTAATATTGTTTTAAATGGTAACCGTTTATTTTTGTTGTTGTCATAAAACACTAAAGAACACTGAACATTTACATAATTACATAAGGGATGCTTTTTTAAGTGATTATTGAGGTTGACCCTTATTGGTTTTTCTATTACCAATGCAGATTTGCAGGAGGCATGGTCAGCCGATGGCCAGTGTGGACTGCCGATTTTCATGGCTGATATCTAGATATTTTCCACTAGGGATGTGAATCTTAGAGCAACTCGCGATTTGATTCGATTCCGATTCTTGAGGTGCCGATTCGATTCAGAATCGATTCTCAATTTCAATTGATTCACAATCAGTATTAACAAAAAGCGTCAGCTCCATGATTAACTACTTTGTTGTGCAAGTCAGTTAAAGCTATGGGACATTTTTATTTGGCTTTAAACTGGTCATGCTCCAAAAATGCAAATTTAAAATGTTAAATAAAGTGATTCTAAAACTGTAAACAGAAGCAATCTGTTGACAAAAGGCAACATTTATTTTTGCTTACCTTGTAAAATATAACAAATCTGTAGTTACCTAACAGTAGCTTTGAAAGTAATATGGTCAAATACTTTTCAAGTATCAAGTTACATGAGTAATCCTGAGTACTCATTTATCAACTTAGAAAATAAATATGAGAATATCTCAAATTTCTGAGTATGGAAAAAATTACATTCAAGTGCCCTCTTATCAGCAGATTCAAACATAAATCATCTCAATTTATGGGACCACAAAAGTAAACGGAGTACTGACTCTCCTAACAAAGATCAAAAAAGTGCATCTGAAACCTATAACATGCCAAATATTAGAGTTCTTGGAATCGATTCTGAACCTTTGTGAATCGATTCTGAATCTTTATAAATAACAATCCCGATTCAGACTTGAATCGATTTTTTGATCACCTCTTTTTTCCACCTTCTTTTCATGCTAAAATATCAGAAATAACATCGGTTCATGCACACAATTCCAGAAGCTGTATCAGTTTTTGAACTCTGAATTCAACCAACTGTTAAATCTTAACTTTGTACACCGCGCAGTGTTAAAGTCAGACACCTAAATAAAGTTTATTTATTGTATTTATTATGCAGTTGTTATTAGTGAACATAAAAATACATTAAAATTAAATTCTGCAGCAGCACTGGGCTTCCCAAGGATGTGCCTTACTTTAAATCAACTTTACTAAGGACAGATGCCAGTGTATAACAAACGGTAAATTTCAGCACCATGTATTGGTTTACCCCTAATAATTTGCCTTTTTTCAAGATTTGTTTTATCACACACTAAGTCACATGGTTTGTTTTTTAACTCCCACCGATATTCTGTTTTCTTTGTGTTCTGTTTTTGTAGATTGTGCATTTTGTGACTCAGCTCTCGTGCAGCCATGGAAAAGCCCTGGAGGCTGTGGGGGGCGATGGAGCGTTGCATCCTGGCTCTGGTGTCCTGGTCTTGGGGTGCCTGTCGTGTCTCCCTTTTGGCTCTTATCCTCACGTTCCACCTGTATGGAGGGTTTTTCCTCCTTGCTCTCATCCTGGCATCTGTGACGGGCATTCTCTACAAATTTCAAGATGTTTTACTCTACTTCCCCGACCAGCCTTCCTCCTCTCGCCTTTATGTTCCAATGCCAACAGGAATTCCACACGAGAGTGTGTACATTCGTACCAAGGATGGTGTGAAGCTTAATCTCATCTTACTTCGTTACACAGGAGGAGATGCGCCCCCCGGAGGGAACTCTAGCGGTCAAAATTGCCCAACTTCCGCTTCTCCACCTACAATCCTTTATTTTCATGGTAATGCAGGAAATATTGGTCACAGAGTCCCAAACGCACTTCTCATGCTGGTTAATCTAAAAGCAAATGTAGTGCTACTGGACTACCGTGGCTATGGGAAAAGTGAGGGAGAGCCCAGTGAGGATGGTCTGTACCTGGATGCTGAGGCCACACTGGACTATATTATGAGTCGCCCTGACCTGGACAAGACAAAGGTGGTGCTCTTCGGTCGCTCATTAGGAGGAGCTGTGGCTGTGCACTTGGCATCAGTCAACCCTCACCGTGTAGCCGCCATCATCGTTGAAAACACCTTTCTGAGCATCCCCCACATGGCCGCAACACTCTTCTCTGTCATGCCCATGCGTCTGCTGCCCTTATGGTGCTACAAGAACCAGTTCCTTTCCTATCGACACGTGGCGCTGTGCCGGATGCCTTCGTTGTTTGTGTCGGGTTTGTCTGACCAGCTCATCCCACCAGTTATGATGAAGCAACTGTACGAGATGTCTCCCTCACGGACAAAACGTCTCGCTATTTTTCCAGAAGGCACTCACAACGACACGTGGCAGTGTCAGGGCTACTTTGTTGCTCTGGAGCAGTTCATTAAAGACCTACTGAAGAGCCATGCCCACGAGGAGAGTGCTCAGCCCTCAGCTAGTGTCACCATCATCTGATAAATGAGTCAAAGTGACATGGGCTGATTGTAATGCATATATTGGAGCGACTTTGTGGATTTGTGGAAGTCGTGTGTATTTTACATTTTTTTTGTTTGGGTTTGACTTGATTTCACTCTTTCTACCTTTCTGTAAATTTGATATGCTGAAATATTTTCACAATTTAAGGTTGAAGAGACAATTTCAACTTTCTCTTGGTATATTTTATTTTTTGGGTCAGCTGCAGATATCAATGCATGTATTTATGACTTGAAACGAACGAAGCCAGAGCATACACGCTCATAACATAAAACATGTCACAGTCGTGGAAAAATTCCCTGCCGTCAAATCAGTTTAAAGTATTATGACCACAAAAGGGCGAGTAGCGATTTAAACCAATTACTCCAATCAAAATGACACTTTTTTTTCAATAAAATACAATTTTGAGTTTTACTATATATATATATATATATATATATATATATATATATATATATATATATATATATATATATATATATATATATATATATATATATATATATATATATTTGTAATTCAGTTGTGTTTTTTTGTTTTTAATTAACCCCAATTATTATTATTATTATGCTTTGTTTTTTTGCTAACATTTTAGGAGCAATAAATCAGGAAGTGTGAAGAAATTTCTGTTCTTTTAGCCCAAAAGCAACTCTGTCATGTTCGTCCAGCAGTTCGGGATTTCATGACTCCCAAACTTATCTGAACAGAAATATAAAAATAGTCTATTCTATATTTAAGAGCTGAAATGAAGAGGCCAAACATGCTAAAATGTGAAATTTTCGATCAAATTATTTAAAAGAAAATGTTTATTATTGTTAAATCACTTCTGTTGTCCAGATTAGAAGCTTCTCTAATCCTGCATCGTGTTAAAAATGCTACCAGTTATTTATAAATGAGCTTTAGTCGTTACTAAGCAACTTTGGGATCTCGTGTTTCATAAGAAGGATTTGTTCCAGCCTCGTTCCTTCGGGCCTGCTGATTGTTGACGGTAAAATTTGGTTCTTGTTTTATTGACACATTTAAAATGTTTTTAAGTTAAAAAAAAAAAAGCTGAGAATCTGGAAAATTCCCAAGGATAAATACTTTAGTGTGTCGCAACAGAGATAACTTTGCTTTTACTTCCCCGTCTTTTACACACTTGTCACAACTGGAGGGAATTATTTTTATACATGATCAGTGCTTGTTTGTTTTAAACATAAACAGTATACATCAGCCGCGGTATTGTTTTTTTTTTTTTATCTTTGGGCGTTGGGTTACAAAATAACAGGAGGAACAAAGTGTGAGGATTTCTGATTATTCATTAGTTATTATCTTTACATTGTAATTGCTAATTAGAGGTTCTATCTGAAACAAGGGAGGGGGAGGGGCTTTTAATGAGCTAATTAACCTTTCCTGCATGTCTTCCTTCAGACAGGGCAGAGCCTGATGATTGAAACACCGTTATCTGCTCTTTGTGTTTTAAATGCTGCACTGCAGTGGTTTAAAGCCATTTTAATCCATTCAACAGATCTCAGCCATATTAGAGAAAAGGAAGAGCAAGGACGGCACAGAACAACCAAATCTGAGAATCCCAAGTCTTGAAGCCACCATGAATGTAAAAGATGGACCCAAATCTACACAAACAAATAATGTCACTTTTTTCTCTTTCTTTGAAGTTTTTCTGCTAATTTCCTCCAGCAGGTTCAGACTTTCTGTTGTGTAATGTATCAAATCCACATGCTGAGTTAGTTCAGCTTTGTAAATATACACTCATTTGTTCCACCGACTTTGTTTATCTGCCGATTTCTTTTTCACAAACTCCTTTGCATTTTTCACTCACTTGTTGTTCCTCTCACTGGCTTAAAGCAATTTTAATAACGATAAAACTATGTTTTCTTCCTATTCAGCGTGTTTTTGTCCAACACACTGGAGATGGACTTAAAGTAAAACTGAATGTCCTTGTTTGAAAAACAACTCACTGCTGGATGTGCAAATGCACCGTGGATCATATTTTTCTATGTTCATGTGACTGTGAAGTGATCAGAATGAGCACAGTTGAAAATGTTGACATATTTCAGGTTTACAGTTGCTTTTGCAAACTGGCATGTGATTCTTCTGTAATTAACATGCAGCTTTGTGTACGTCTTTAATGACTAAAGCGTAAATCCTCTTTGGAGATCCACTAAAGGGCTGTCCGCCCAAAGAGACATCTGAATGAGCAGTTTTTATCAAACGTTTTCCATTTTCAAGCGTGTTTCTTTTCTATTTCAAAACACTTGTCAACTTCTTTAGTAAACACACATTTTCACTTTCTATTTTCTGTAATGTAACATGCAATAAACGAATGCATTCGATTTACTTTGTGTTTGAATTTTTTACAGCCCAGCCTTTTTTCTACCCTTAAAACCAAAAGCTCCTGTCCAGGAAAGCTGGTAAGACGTTTTCAATTAAAAAAGAATAATTCCTGTAATTCAATTTTTCGTTTTGAATTTGTGCTTCAAAAATATCTAAGATAATGTTTAGTTTGGTTTTCACTCGTGGAATGAAAAAAATTACCTCATTTCCTACTTTTTCTTCAGGATTTCTTTATGCCTGCCAGCAATAAATATTTTTATCTCCTTGTTAGCAAAGTACCTCATAAACTAATGGATGCATTAATCAAACTAGAATGTGTTTGTTATATGTAGAAGGTAACCGTAGTTTTGCAGATACTGAGCTGCTCTTTGGTGCAGGGAGGCTCTTACAACAACATTTAGGGGCTAACTGGTCACCTGAGGGCATTTTCAAAATTTGAAGAACCAGTCTATAAAGTCTACATAAGCTCACCATTTCAAGAATGTTTTTAAGAAAATCTGCAGATAATACACATTTCTGCTTTTACTTAATTTATACTTTTCAAATTTGTGTAAAAATGTTAATTATTGCACCAGATTCTGTGTGCAAAGTTGTGCATCTTATCAGTCTATAGTCTGTGTACCTTGCACTTCCTGTTTGAGATAAATATAGGCAGTGCAATATCATTTCATGTAGAATAAAGTGTAAAATTCTCCTTAAGTACCAAATCTTCAACTAGATGGCATCTAATGTCTTAACTTTGACCCAAGCTTTGTAGATTTGGGTCATCAAAACTTTGATTTTTGTTTGCGGCTGCATCGTTTTCTAGTGACTTTAGAATAGCAAGCTGCAAATGAAATGTATCTCGCCACATAACTTGTTTCCACTGTCTTTCTGAAAATCCGATACAGCCTCACACCTAGAAAACTATGTCCCTGCACAGAAGTGATGGCTTTTCTTTAATAAAACAGTTCAGGTTACATTTTGGATGCAGGAGATGGTTGTCTTGAGTGGCAACAGCATTCCTCCGCTTGTGTTAATGACAGTTGTCAAAATAAGTATATCTCATATTTAACATATTCTTTGAAATGTTTGCCAAACTGTACCAGTTTATTCATAAAGCACTTTTAATACGACATCACAACCAACCAAAGTGCTGTACATAAGTAAAAAGTCCCATCATTCATCATCACCCTGGGGAGCGGTGAGCTGCAGCAGTGGCTGTGCTCAGGAACTATTTGGTGATTTGAACCCCCCCCCCAAATCCAACTCTTTAAAGCTGAAACAACACAAGCAGAAATAAGCACACAAAGCGTGACATTAAAAACAAACAGCTAAGGTACCAAAGTGTATTAGCATACATATTCAAATTTGAATATCAGAGATGGAAGGAAGGATGGCAAAATGTGAGTGAATGATGAAGCCAAGTTTATGTGTGAAAAACCAGGAAGAAATAGAGCTTGTGTGATTTAAAAATGGCAATAGAGGGCACTTGCCTAACGTGAAGGGCTAGTGAGTTTCATAGTTTTATGATGTGCCTTAGGGATGGTGAGAGAGAGAGCTGATCAGCAGACTGAGTAGCACGAGGAGGGAGGTGGAGATGAAGCTGCTCAACCAGATAGGGAAACAGAAGAATTTTAAAGTTGATTACTGATTCCAGAAGATGAACTTGATTTTTGCTTTGATTTGGAAATTTGCCCAAGATGGTTAAAGCAGGACGTAACATCTTCAGGACCGGGTCAATAATTTACTCCTAGGTTGGTAACGATAGAAGAGAAAAGGGGGGAAAGAGATTGGAGGTCAGGTGACTGGATCATTATAACATTGTTGGGACTAAAAATGATCCGAATGATTTAGATGGAGGGAATTAGCTGCCAGCCAGCCCTCGATATCACAAAGACAATCAAAGAGAGATTTAGTGGAGTCAGTGGGCTTAAAAGAATAATAGATTAGTTATCTGCATAGAAATGATAAGATACGAGATATTGTTTAAATATAGTTCCAAAAAGCAGAATCTAGAGAGAGAAAAGTGGACCGAGGATGGAACCTTGAGGAACCCCTCGAGGAAGGGAGACTGACTGGGATGAGCAGTCGTCCAGCAGCTGAGGGTCCTGTTCTAAAGTAAAACCTAAAACAATCAAAGGCCAAGCATTTCAAATATTTGCTGTTTTGGTATTTATTTATTTATTATTTATTTATTTATGTTCGTCTTTTGTAAACCGATTAATGATTCTCTGATGGTGGTTGACATTGAGCTGTGACTGCTCCTCACTTTGATGGACACCTCTCATATGGATGCATTGCTGCGGTTGAAAATATAACAACTTGCATTTTCCAAATCCAAGAGTCCGGCGACACTTTGTACACAGGGAAGCATTGTGCTTCTAAACTGTATTACGAAACAAAAAAAGGCACGTCAGAATCAACATTTGTTGAAAAACAGCTCTGGAAATCAAGTTATATATCTATGTGACCACACATCACTTCACATTTTTTATTTTCGGAATTAGTCTTCCTTGTCGCCTTGTGGTGTTACTTGATGGTGAAGCAAGTTTTGCACTTCCTTCTTTTGGTTCTTGTCATTATTCACATTTTTCCTCAAAGTTTTAAATTCATGCCATCCACTGACAAGCTGGCCACCTCTCATCAGATCGAAACACCTTTCCATGCTGAAGTCGGGAACTGTTTTCAGGTGGAGAAACAAATGAAATCAATGATTAGAGAGACTTTGCAGAGCTGCTGGTCAGACAGGAAGCCGTTTGTGTGGTTTGCTCAGAGGAACAGTGGAGGGGAAGCTGTTTAGCAATTTTTTTCATCTTCATTTGTGCTGCGCACTCTCCCAGACTTAACCTCTGAGCAACTGAGTGACAAAAACTAGAGTTAAGGAAGTTCTTCTTGCTTAAAGACAGGAGTTAAGCTTCAGGGAAACTTAATGATTAAACTATCCCTCCACCATTCCTAACCCAACTCAGGCAGAAGATAAGCGGTTTAGGAGTTGGAACATGAGAAGAACTAATGCTGCCAGTGTGAGCTTTTTCAGGGTTTAATGTTCCACTGCTATGGCATTTCTAGCAGACACGGAGCCGGGATCTGAGCACGGATCAGGTGAAAAGAGGTTATCCTGGCCTGTTCTCCTGCTGACACTAGCTGCTGTCACCTCCTCGTCTCTGTCTGCTTTGTCCCTGTACCAGTTTGTGGCTCTTAGAGCTGAAGTGGAGGCTCTCAAATCAGACATGAGTCGCAGGAGGGAAGAGGGACCAGACGCCGGGCGCAGAGGTCAGGTGAGTGAACAACCATCACCAGAGACAAAAAGATAGAGGAGAATTAGACATTTAGGCTGGTTTTTAGGATTATGTGTCCGCACAGGCTGAACTTATCAAGAGCAAGAGAAACATCCAAGAGGATCTGCAACAACCTCCTCATGCATCTACTCAAATAAGGAAAAGGAGAGAGACGTCAAGATCAGAGATGTTAGGTAAGGCCCGTGTGTAACGTTTTACTTATTTTCACATTCAAGCAGTCTCACAACACGTTTAAGTATGAAGTGGATCGAGAAAATGTTGTATATAAATGACATCATTGCTTTAAAGTACCAAGCAACATGGACTAAAGGAGAGGTTCTCTAAAACAGTCAGCTTGATACATTAAGCTAATGACCAATAATGAGTAACTTCTAGGTTTTGCAGTAAGTTCACTAATCATCCCTTAGTATTGAATTTGTATGATTGTGACAATATTTAACTTGCTTTTTATTTTTCACATGACCAGCTCAGTGGCCTAGTGGTATGTCTGCCCTGAGACTGGGAGATCGGGGTTCAAATCCCGGTCAGGTCATGCCAAAGACTTTAAAACGGGACCCGATGCCTCCCAGGTTGACAGTCAGCTTTGAGAGATAGATTGGGGGGTTAAACCCCCAAAGGGTTCCCGAGCACAGCCATGTCTGCAGGACTTAAATATCCTTCAAATGGTCCAACGTTGTTTTCACTTTTACCTGATAAAGGATCCCTGAAGAAAAACATGCATTTATGTGTGTTTACAGTTTCTCAGTCCTGCCTGCAGCTGCTGGCAAACAGCAGCAGAAAACCCTTCAGTAAAGGTACAGAGTGTCCGACTTTAATCTAGCTTTATGCTTTTTTGCATATGTGTGATTATTATTCATACCCAATGGTAAACATGGCGTTGAGATCTAAAGTTGCAGTGACTTGTTAGTTTTTGCTTTCTAATAAAATCCTTCACCTCTGATCAGAACTTCCCTCAGGCCCATTCATTGGGATTCCTTGGCAGGCAGGACTGAGGAGAGGGTCCGCCCTGGAGGCCGATGGAGACCGGATTGTTGTCCGAGAGGAGGGCCTCTACTTTGTCTACAGTCAGGTGGGCTGGTTTCCTGTCATTGCATTGCTTTTCCACTAGGGGATGCTGCTGCTCCTTTAGCAAACATCCAGATTATTTTTTTCCTTCTCACATTTTGATGGAAAAAAGGGATGTGCTGACTCCAAGTATCAATTTGCTTTTTGACCTTGAAAAGGTCAGATCTAAAGCATTTAGCATGCATTGTGCATGCACAATTGACATGATAGAAAATCCTGTACCATGGTGTTTTCCAGTAATTCTGATTCCTGCAGGTTTTTTACACTGACAAGACCTTTACAATGGGCCACGTAGTGATCCGATGGAAGCATTCCATTGTGGGAAACGAGGATCCAGACGTGCATCTTTTCCGCTGCATCCAGAGCATGAGCCCTGAAGACTCTTACAACACGTGCTACACAGGAGGCGGGTGTCTTACTGGTTTCAGCACTAAGCTTAATGGAGAGCATCTTTTTTATCATCTGTAGAAAAACAGAAGCTAAAAGAATTAATTTGAACTTTTTATTGAAAATTTTAATCCTTCAGGTGTTGTGAAGCTAGACGTTGGAGATCACCTGGAGCTTCTGATCCCCCGGGCTACAGCCAACATTTCCCTGGATGGAGATTCCACCTTTCTGGGTGCCTTTAAGCTGATTTAATGCGTGCAACTTCACACAAGAGTAAATTAATGTTATTGCAGGTCAGAGACAGCCACACAGATGGGGAAAACAATGCAGCACAGCAGCTCTGGTGGCTTTTTTTGTGTTCTGACAGATTGCATGCCTCAAATCTCGTGTTTTCTGTAAATGACAGAGGCAAAATGATGAGTTTGTCTTCACTGCATTTGTTTTTAGTCACTTCAAGGCAAACTCTGCTAACCACATCATAAAAGACCATTTCATACCATATAAATCATAATATAATTTCACTCTTTTAGCAGCTTTACCTTATCATTAAAACATTGCTTTCTTATGTAACGTCACGAAATGGCCTGATTTTGAGACCCACAGGTCAGATCTACAGCCAGGTCAACTTACCCTGGCTATGACACAACCTACAATATTTTACCTCACAGGAGACTGAAAGCCTGACGCCCTGACAGAGATAATAAAATCATAACAATAACATTCTCTCCTACCAGGGTCCCTTTACAGAGGAACTCTTTTATATAAACTCCTCGATCCACAGAGGAACAGAGGAAAAAGAAGATTTTTAAAATTAAAGGTAATCATTAAATAAACATTTGTTTATTGCTACTTATAATAATTATAAAGCAGTGAAATGTTTCATTAATCTGTGTTTAATGATACATGTTTAGCATGTTTACTTGACGAGGTCATCACCATTTGCACTCACACAAGGACAAAGTACAACAAGTTGAACGCATGACACACGGTTAACCTTTTGCCCAGTTCAGAGCGTCGGACTCAAAGAGGGTGTGTCTCTGAGATTCTTGGCAATATTCCTCAAACTTGTCAACTTTTGGTTGGCTGCCTATTCATAACATCAATATATTAAAACTAGATTACTCTGGTTTTTCCTTCAGTTCGTTCGTTCGTTCAGTTCGAGAGTTCTAGAGTAAAGCTTCAGACCGGCCATCTGAGCAAAACCTCTTTAACCATCAAAGATTTTGACACATCGTCAAAACCTTTTAAGACCTTTTTCACACCTGCGAAGCTGATACAACTAGATAGTTTCCTGCAGTACAAAGCTGATATTATTACAGCTCCATAAGAGTTATTCCTGAAACTAGTCCAACTGTCGTTACCTGGAAGATGACCCTGGACTGACCTGGTCGCACCGGAAGTTAGTCTACGGACTTTGGTGCCGGGGTCTCTGACCCCCCCCCCCCCCCCCCCCCCCCACACACACACACACACACACACACACACATACATCTCGGAACCAAAAGGGCGTCTCCTCTTGGGTACGTAGAACACAGTGAGATTGCGTCTGGATGTGGGTTTGCTAATAATCTGCTCACAGCTTAACACAAACCAAATTCTTTTAAATCCAGAACTCAGCTCTCTGAGATACGGACGTTCTGACTCCATTATATTTACACATAGGTTCCAGACACCTTTAGTTGCCTTCCACTCACAGTAAATAATAGTTAAACAATTTGTCAAGTTTTGAATTGTTTGTAAAATAAATTCTTACTTTTATAAACCTGACTGTTTCTTCAATCAAAACGAAGTGCATACAACCCCCTAATGAATAACGAATCCTAGAATCTTCTGATTAATCATTAACCCTTTGATGCATGAATTATGAAATCTTCAACCATGATTTTTAAACAATTTTTTTCATTCATCTTTAGGTGTGAATGAAACAAATTTCAACAAATAATTTTTGTAACATTTTGTTAATTTACATATAATTTATTACATGTCCAGCTCAGTGGACAGCGTGCATTCTGAACATGAAATATGGTGGCTTGACATGCTGAAGCCCAAATGGAGGGGCTCACATGCAATAAAGTCTTCAACAGCTGTGCTTAATAGCAAAAATAAATAAATAACAATTTTGAGTACCTCTCCACTGTAGTGACCATTATGCATCAAAGGGTTAAAGGCTAGGCAGGTTGATATTCTGCATTTAAATAGAGTATCACAGCTTATTGGTCACAAGTTGTGCTAATAATATATTAAGCTCTTAAAGCAATTTACTTAACCCAACATACTATTTATTAACATTACACTTACACTGTATTAGCTTAATAAAGGGCACAATTTGTCAACATAGAATATTTTTATATACCTGATGTAAAATATAAAATGCAATAAAAGGACATTTCAGGGGGTTTGTTCCATTTTTTATGTCAAGAAGGAAAAACGTTTATGCGACAGAACACAAAAGAGATATTGAGATAAGGTTCAGCAGGAACTGCAAAAATAAAACTCCACCGGCATATTTTTAGCTCCAAGAAAAACGGCAGGCGGATGATGTCAGTGGTTTCAAAGCAGTCGTTCAGGCCTGAGGATTCTGAAGAAAATTGGAGGCTCTTTTCAATAAATCATATGAGGTTTGTAATAAAGCAGCAAGGAGGAGAGTTAGACTGAGAAGTTTCGGGACCCAAGAGTCTCTAAACCAACACAAGGGAAAAACGTACATTATTATCAGACTCTTTGGTAGTATCATGAAAAAAGACAGAATTAACATTTGCCTTCATACAACACAGGTTGTTTAAAATAGAAATGTGTTTCATTCAGTGCAGCATGTATTACACTAAATCCGAGCCCTAACCCTCAACAATATAATATATGCTTATTAGGAGCAGGTGTTGCAAGACGAGACAGAAGCCGACCTGTGCAGGTTGGTGCTGCATTTGGAGAGATGATGGGCCCTTATAGATATAAAAGACCTGAAGACACTAAAAAAGAAAATACATAAAAAAATACCTCAGATTGAGTCTATCTTCGTGTGAGCAACACAAATCTCAATAATGAATCAAACTATCTTCAGGTCGACTCAGCTGCTTGTCTGATTCTCCAGCTGACATTAACTGAGAGCTGAAATTGAAAAAGTCTCTAAATGTTGTGATTAAGGAACATCGTTGTGCAGCTGATGTTCTTTTTTTTCCCAAATGGTGGTACACCGAGGCTGACCTTGATGTCATCAGGGGGATTTTATAAAATCTCTGGTCAGGGAATGCTTTGGGATTGTCCCAGGAGGAAAAGGCCACATGAAAGAGGAATGTTTGTTTTTATAAAGGGAAAAAAGTGAATCCTTTGAATTTTTCTGTCCATCCATCCATCCATCCCCATCCATCCATCCATCCATCAATCCATCCATCCATCCATCCATCCATCCATCCCCATCCATCCATCCATCCATCCATCCATTCATCCATCCATCCATCCCCATCCATCCATCCATCCATCCATCCATCCATCCATCCATCCATCCATCCCCATCCATCCATCCATCCATCCATCCATCCATCCATCCATCCATCCATCCATCCATCCCCATCCATCCATCCATCCCCATCCATCCATCCATCCATCCATCCCCATCCATCCATCCATCCATTCATCCATCCATCCATCCCCATCCATCCATCCATCCATCCATCCATCCATCCATCCCCATCCATCCATCCATCCATCCCCATCCATCCATCCATCCCCATCCATCCATCCATCCATCCATCCATCCATCCATCCATCCATCCATCCATCCATCCATCCATCCATCCATCCATCCCCATCCATCCATCCATTCATCCATCCATCCCCATCCATCCATCCATCCCCATCCATCCACCCATCCCCATCCATCCATCCCCATCCATCCATTCATCCATCCATCCCCATCCATCCATCCATCCATCCATCCCCATCCATCCCCATCCATCCATCCATCCATCCATCCATCCATCCATCCATCCATCCCCATCCATCCATCTGTCCATCCATCTGTCCATCCATACTGGTTGTGCAGCACCAGGCTAAAGACCAAAGGTGACAGATCATTTGCTGCTGTGGCCCCCAGACTCTGGAACTCTCTCCCTCTGAGCCTGAGATCAGTAGTCTCCTTTAAAAAGCAGCTGAAAACTCATCAAAGACACACATGCACACACACAGACACACACAGACACTCAAGCACACACAAACGCACACTTGTTTGCTCTGTCTATTTGTGCAGTTAGTCTGAGAAAAGCCAGTGGGTCGTCACTTCTTCACCAAGCCTTTTGCATTTTTTGTCAGGGCTCTGTTGGGCAGCAGGAACCAAAGCTGGGTAGACAACAAGTCAAATACTAAAGTATGAGTCTGAGTAAACAAAGTTCCAGATAAAAGTGACTATTGATAGAGTAGAAGCATGATGCTGATAGACGGCATATTGAGAGCAGACCCTGAGATTCATCTAAGTCAGTAAAACCCTTTGAAGAGCCGGCTGATGTTTACCGCAGCAGGCGGCTGAACAAACAGCAACTGAGAACCAGAATAAGGAGGCGGATGTGAAAGAGGCGCTCAGAAAAGACCTCTCCTATAAATGTGTCACGCATGATGCCACCCCTCCTCCATGTGGTCCAGAGATGTCTTTGTGTGGTGCCATGGTGATGGCTTGTGTGTTTGCGGAAGCTGATGTCACTGTGGTCTCGGATCTCAAAAGAGAAACCAGCATCTGACCGGAGAATCAGGAAACGAGACCTGCTGTGTACACTTGCTGGCACCGTGTGCCGTTCACACGCTGTACACTCACACTAGTACACAAAAATACCCAAACATCCATGAGAACAAAAGTTGGCCCATTTTGATTAACAAAGCCACGGCTGATGAGCAGAACAAACCCATGTTCCTGGTTCCATGTGTGCATTTTAACCCAACATTAACCTCTTCAGTGGCTTAATGTTAATGTTGCCATGTGTGCACGTTTAGGACCCAAATAAAGGAAGTTAGCAGGAGGAAGATGTGAAAGGGTGTAAATTAATTTCCTTTATTACCAAACTAAATAGCATATAATTCAGAACTTGAAGCTGCAGAAAACCCAATGAAGCACAAATGACCTCCAGGCTGTGAACACGTCTTTGTGCCAGAGGTCCAGTTTCACTTCCTTAATGGAATTAGAAACCAAAGAATGCAGTTTATCATCTGTAAAGCTTTGATTCGTTGAGAACTACTCTGACAAAGGAAAGCTTAGCTCTGTTTTGTTGACCATCTGCATCAAACCAGATAAAAAGAATAAGCAGAAGCTGTATCAGAGTCCTCTAGTGGCTGCTTGCAACATGGCGTCTGGGTCCATTCTCTCCTGGACACAAAGAAGCGTCTGTTGGTACGCTTTAAGGTGGAATATGGAACACAAACACCATGGCGACATCTAGTGTGTGGAGGTTGTTGCAGCAATAGAACCGTAGAGATGCCCGGTTCTCTAACTATACGTGACATTTTGTATTTTTGTCCATCTGTTGCAGGCTTCACCTAAACTCACTCTGGGCTCAGAAGCAGCTGCTTCACTTGCTGAGTCCGCCATTTTCCACAGTGCCAGCCTCACTGTGCCAAGCAGACTGTTTGGCAACCCACAATGGTGCCCTCTATTGGCTGGAAGATGTAAACATAAACACTGAGAGTTGTACCCATCAAAAAGAAACATTTGAATATTTTTATATAAAAATATAACTTTTAAAAGAAATACTGTACCTTCATTCACACCTCTAAATGCCCCAAGGAAGTATTAATATTAAACAATATATAGGCTTTAATTAAATTGGTCCATTTCAACATTTAAAGGTGCATTGTGTAGAAATGAAGTAAATATGACATCCTGTGGTAAAATGTGGTTACCGCAACCACTTTGAAAAACTCTGGAGCTTTATGCTGGGTGTCGTCAATTACACTTGTCACTGTTGCAGTGTTAGCTCGCGCACACACTGATGGTAACTAGTAGTTACGTCCCTCCTTCCTCTGTTTTGAAAGGAGAAAAACTGACAAGCCCGCAGCCAGCTAGACATGAGATATGTTTCAGTACAACTTTCCTTCCAAAATGACTAAAACACTACACTCTTTTGCAATTTTCTCACTGTAAAAATCTCACTATAGTCTAACATACTGCACATTTACAGGGGTGCAAGGCAGTGTTTGCTTTCTTTCAGCACCCCCTAGTGTCCATTTGTAGAACCAAAACTCCTCGCTGTGCGTTCGTCTTTTTAACATCTAGCAGCTGAAATGTCTCCCCAGCCTTCATCAGTGCTTACATGAGTGATTCAGCACTAAAGTAAACAAATCAGCTGCGTTCATTATCTAAAACATGCAGGAAACGTGCTGGAACCAGACTGCAGCGCCAGATATGTCAGCTCAAGTCTCAACAGGGCGGGCCTGCCAGTCTGAAGTTGCAAGTGGAATATTCTGACCGCAGGGGGCAATAGGGGCTGGGTGGTCTTTACATTAACCCTGTAAAGGGTCATTTTAGCACATGCTGGCTCTAGAATTTTTTTTAAACGTGACAAAGTTTTAAAATATCCCTTTAACATTGAGCAATAAATGAAAATAATAAAAAGGTTTAACACAAAGGTAAAAATGACTAAATTAAAGAATTAAACAGAACAAACTAACTTTATCATAAGATAATACGAAACCAAACACAAAAATCATGACATAATACAAATAAAACAGATGTAGGCTCGTGAATGATCAGTTTTCAGTGATTCAGCTCAGACCCCTAACCCT